TTCCTGCAGATGGAGAGGGCCCTCAGAGACCGGTGCATGTGGATTCCTTCTACATGGACATCCAGGAAGTCACTAACAGGCAGTTTCAGAATTTTGTTAATGCCACAGGATATGTTACTGAGGTATTGGACAATTTTAACTTTAACTATTAATCCATATTCTGCAGTCACATTTAACAGCTGCTATTGTAATGTTCTAAAATAAGGTGGCATCACCTTTGCTCAAAAAGTTTGAATCTTTGTGCTTTTAGGCCGAGAAATTTGGAGACTCATTTGTATTCGAAGGAATTTTGAGCGAGACAGTCAAAAACCAAATCACCCAAGCTGTGAGTCCATCTATCTATCTATCTGTCTATCTGTCTGTCTGTCTGTCTATGTCAGTTTGTATGTCTGCACAGATATAGCTCTAAAATCAAATCAATAGATACGTGTTATAGAAAAACAGGCCTTTTGATTTTCCAATTAAAGGAACTAAGTCTACACAATTTTCTGTTTGCTTTACCTAAACTTTGTCACATATTTCAAACATTTTCTTTTTTATATGAGCACGTGCAGTTTTTATAAACTAACTTGTTATGAACTTTGAATGTTTCTTGATGTAATCTATTCTGTTATACAGTATAATTCTTACAAATGCTTTAATACTTAGCTCCATTTTTTCTGCTCACTCTGTATTTTTTATGGGGAAAATTTCATTTTGTCCAACTGTCTTGCAGATATAATAATATTATTTTATATGATTCATATATATGATAATACTTCATTGCATTTGATCTCCAAACAATAATTTGTTGATACTAAAAGTAATTACAGGCATTATACATTTCAGATGCATAAAGTGTCAGCTCTTCACACCATATTGCCATTTGTTGGTGATGATGGGTTCTTCTTCTTGAATTGCTATGTTGGGACAAGGGTACCAGGAAAACAAAGAGAGATCATGATAGAGAGAATTTTCCCATGGAAATGAGGCTGGCGGGTAGTAGAGAGTGTTTAGTATAATGAAGTATTTATCTAATAATATTTATAATATTTAG